ACTGTAGTTCTTCACCGAGTGCCGCTATTACACAACCGTAATCTTTATTCTTCAGGCAAATGATGCATTTTGGACAGTTTTATCGTCTTGCTTCCTCAAAAGCCTGCACTGTTAAATGTTTTATGGGAAAATAGAACATCGTATATATCGTATATTGTGTTTTTAGTATAATATCTAATAATATGCCCTAAAGCCTTCAAGACATCCTTTTCTTGTCGTTTAAATATTGTCCGTGCATCATAAATGATTTGTTAACAGACAGAAATGCTGCTTTTCATCTCAGCTGGTTAGAGGGAATGGATGTGTTTGATTGACAGCAGCCTGCAGACTTTCCGAGTGTCTTTGCTCCACCGTAGGACACAAAATACTCACATCTAGTGAATTTTGCAAGTTTGTTTACTTCTCAAGTTCCACCAACTGACCAGCTAATTGGCAATACATCCTACAAACTGACTTTAATGGAGCACCTTTTGCCATAAGATGTTTGTTTCAGTTTATATCCTTAAAGAAGCCACACGTGTGTTCTTGTTTAATAGTTAGATAAGAAAAAGACTTGAGCAGAAAAGCTAACATTAGTTATTCAAGGTGTTTAGTCCTTGCGTTGTGCAGCAGGTTGCTGTCTGGCTCAGTGTGACTGATTTGCATACGAAGGCAAAACCGCGGTGTGAGCAATTGTGAAAACAAAAGATATGACATACACATTTATTTTATTTCCAAATGTTTTTGTTCTCCAAAAGGAAACGAAGAAAAAAGTGACTGACCGGGCACGTATGTATACCGGAGTAGACAGTTGGACTTTAAAAGATAATAACATAGTGTTGTCTTGGCCATCATCGCTCCATCTGTGAGTTTTATCCAAGTAGCATTTGCTTACATTTGACTTCATAAACACAAATGGATGGCCTATACATCATCCAGACACCATCACTCACTCGTAAACTGGCACAGGGATGTGATATCCACTCAAAAAAAGAAGAGTCACTTCCTCCCTCTTGTCTCATTGCAACAAATTGCTGGTGCCCATGCTGCCCTTCCCATCTGCCGCTCTGTGTGTGCTTATTTTTTTTCCTCCTCTGGAATTGTTTACAACGTGTGTTAATGAGTCATTAGATGTAGCCAAACCTATTCATCCCAATCCCATTGTTCAAACCTCGTCATCCAAAGATAGAGCGCCAGAGCTGCCAGGAACTGTGAAACACCTGCTCGGCCGCACTCCATGCAAAGGTTTAATTGGAGGGAGAGCCTGAAAGAGAGAGAGACAAGGGGACAGATTTAGCTGGAGACGGAAGAGAAAGGGGAGAATAAAGACGAGCTAAATGATGGTTGTTATATTTCTATGAATCAGAAGCTCCACTCTCACCTGTCCCCTACGCAGCTATAATCCAGCCGCAGTGTTCATCAGAACGGGGGAATGAAAAGAAGAATAGATAAACTCCATTGTTTCTGCAGCACGCTGAAAGAGAGTGACAGCCTGTCAGATAAGGAGGACAAGAGGAGGTGGGCAAAGGATGGGAAAACGAGAAGAAGAGTGAAACATAAGCGCTAATGGAGATAAGGAAAGTGGAAGGCCCCGGGTTGATGTGGACGTGGGAGAAAACAGACAAAGGGACAAGGAGGAAAAGCAGACATAAGATGCAGATGAGGTCAATAAACTTAATGCAATGAGAGGAGGTTGCCACGTCACCCTGGACTTCTGCAAAGTGCCTCTTCTGTCTTAAAGCGGACGACTCACTCCTCTCACCCTAAAGCATCCCCCCGTCAGCGTGAGTCTGCCTATCACCTTCTGTGAGAGCAGGCACCCTGCATCTCTCAGGAGGTTATCAGCTCAGGTACACGCAGTTAATTACCGAGCTGTCATTGATCTTTCCACATGTGTACACACAAAAGGATTTAACTGACAAGTGTGCGGGGAAGCTGGTGCTGAGGATTTTCTTTGTATTTGCAAAGTTTTATGAAGTCTGAGTTCAGTTTTGGGGCTTGATGTTGAGCTCAGAGTTAACTCCCCAGCTCTTCTAATCCTTGGAGTCCTAAAAACTCATGTTAATTTCCCTACAGAGGACGAATAGAAGAGAAAAAAAAGGGGGGGGGGGCTATCAAAAGCAAGGAAATCAGACAGAGGGAATCGGAAGAAGAGACGGCCATGTAGAGGATATCTTTATTTCTTATTCACAGAGGTGACATTGGACTGCTGAGCGCACAAAGCTCAGCACTTCATTTGTTTCAGTCCTCCCTAACACTGAGCGCTGTTGCGTGAGTGTCTGACGATGTGCCCCAGAGTCATGATGTAACTCCAAGAAACCGATTTTCCAAATAGAGGGTCATCTATTTTATATTATGCACTAAAATAAGGTTGGAGCATGTCGGTGCTTCCGCGACATGTCAGAAGATCAGATATTGGCTTAAAAAGGGTGATGTAAGGTTTGGAAACTGAGGTGAGTCTTCTTGTGATGTGGTTAAAGTAGCAACAAAGGCACTGTAATCAGGCCTTGTTTAAAACCGTGCAGGGACCCAGAATATTCTTGGATGATGTAATGTAATGTGCGGTAAAACTTGGGTGGGCTTGCTGATCAAGGGTTTGAATGCTTTTTGAGGCTGTGATATGCAGCGACTAAACATGGAAAAATATCTTGCTGCTCTTTTTAGCCGGCCCTAAAGGGAATCAGGAGTGCTGATGTGGAGATTTTAGAGTACACACCTCCTGGAGTACATTTAAAGTGTACAAGTACCACCTCTTTTCTTTTCTGTTGTTAATTTCTTAGAAGGTAGAGATGGTGAGGTGTGCTTTGAATTTTTTTGTTTATTCTATTAGCTTATGGCTATAAATTTAGTTGTAAGATGCCAAAATCATCACTGGTCATAAAGCATTAAGGTGGACACACTGGACTCACTTGGACATGTCGATGCTACAGTATTGTTTAGTCTGTGGTTTTAGTCCATTGTTAGGTGCTTTTGGAAATATACAACATATAATTCAGGTTTTGTGGCCATAAATGAGACCTTATAAGGATGTTTATATGATGCTGTAGGTGCATAAGCCATAAAAAATGGCTCATTTTAGCCCATTGGCAGGTGATCAGTTTAGAAATTACATCAAACACTATGTTGCAGTATTTTTTAGATCTTTGCAACATTTACATAAAACAAATGAATAACACACACGTTGGTCGTCGTACCAAGGGTTCAATATCACAGATGCTATGAAAGGTAAAAAGGTAATTAGAGTTCTGCTATCGTTTGCAGTCTGTAGGCAGCTCAGGACTGTGTCATTCTGTGATTCACATCGATTCTCCGTAGGCAGATATAAAACATACAACATAATTTAACAACCACTAAAGAAAGAGCACACCTTGAGCATTTTGCCATCAGGTTGTGCATTTATCAGACTCACTGCTTCCATCTGTAAAAGTTGCTTTGAAGCAAGCTAATGGTCATTTACAATGATAATATGTGATGTGGAAAAGGTGTAGCTGTGGCTCAAGTTTGCCTGCTCGTCTCCTGACTGTGTCAGAGTTCACAGATGGACAGACAGAGAGATTTTGTGTGTTATATGTAATGAATGTGAAAAGAACATTTGAAAAGCTGGATGTCGGGGATGGTGTGTTCACTATGAGCCTTTTTGTCCAAGATGAATAAATCAATGATGTCATCTCGCACCATAGATATACAAATTCACAATTACAAAAGCAACAGAATCTGACTGAAGAGCCCAATAGGGGCCTTTATAATAAAACTGGCATCTTTTAAATGCTTAGAGTATATATACAGAAAACTTTTATGGTCTCGTAGTGTAAGTACTAAAAAGCTGTATCATAGACTTTCATTCTTTTGAAAAAAAAAAAGACTAAATGAGTCACACAAATTAAGCGGATGACACATCCCTTCATACATCAGTGCAGCACAGTAAATATTTGGCATATTACTCTGCAGCTCAAAATGAGCCGTTGACTCCTGTCTCAGTAACATTTTTTTTTTCGAAATAACATATGAAATACTGACGTATGGACTAAAACAAATTACTGTGCATGATCTCTTCATTTTGTTAACACTAAGAGATATGGGGTAATGGCAGCCTCATTCTTCTTCATGGAGATCAGCAGCGCTGCACTTGTGGTTAAGTGGCAGAAAAATCTAAATAATTAAACCCTTTCAAGATGGCCTTCAGCAGTACTGGCATGAATGCAATTTATATCTTAACACTCGAGACTCTTTCATCTGAGCTTCTGAGGTTTTATTAGAAGGCTGGATCACTGCCACTTTTCTTCGTCTACTGTTTGTTCTGTCCATAAAGAGAAAACCTGAGCAGGCAGCGGAGGCTGTAGTTTTATCCAAACAAAGAGATGAGCTTCAGAGATGTCATTTTTTTGTACCCATCTGCATCTCCTAGCTTTGCTCAAGCTCCTCAAACTGCAGGGGTGGTACTTGGACAATGCACTCGACACCAGTGTACCATATCACTACTGGACCAATAAAATATAAAGGTAGTGAACATTTTAATAACAGTCTTGAGTAATAAATCATGATCTCAGTGGGTATTTACTCTGTAAGACTCAACCCGTCAAAAAATAGCCAGAAAATATGATTTTTTTGGAACTGAGATGTTTATTAACCCTTATAACAAAATCCACATATTTTTTTGCTATATCATGTTGTCTATAATATATTTGTATTATGTATTTATTATATATTTTTTGTATCACATTTGATACATTTCATTTTTGGCAACTTTTTGTTAACAACAATGTTAATTTTAATGTTAATTTTATATTTAAAAAAAAAGGGTTTTGTCCGTAACATTTTGAAATTATGGCAAGTATTGATCATGTTGCTGAGATAGAGGTCTCGGAAACAGCAAAAATATGACACAAAGGGCATTATAGGGTTAAGAACAGCATTATTATGTGCAGTATCAGCACCAGTAGAAGTCTTTTCACCGTTGCCTAAATGTCTTGCAAACCTTCTTCACGAGTGTCAAAGTAATGTGTTTTCTCTGTTTCTGATAGCCATGGATGCACCCGTGAACCTGACAGCCAGTGAAGTGAATCACCGCAGTGCTCTCATTTCATGGCAGCCGCCCATTGCAGAAATAGACAACTACATGCTCACCTACAAGACACCCGACGGCAGCCGTAAAGTAAGTGGCATAACCCGCTCGCCTCAACTCGACCCCCTAAACCTGAGCTCCACTGGTAGTGCTGGTTCCTATTTTTTGTATAGCATAATTAACCTGTATTCTGATATTTGCAACCTATTTAAATGAAACGACGAGCAGTGTCTAAAAGGCGAGTCTATCCGATCTTGTCACAGTCTCGGTTCCATCAGATATCGGATGGAAGGGGCTGGTCCACTTACTGATTCAAAGTAAACCCCACGTCGAACCATGAACCTGCTGCAGCTTCAGTTGGTAACTGAATGTGAAAAAAATGATAAGTTGTTGATTTGACTAAAATGTTGTTTGTTTGGAGAGTTTTTAGTCTGGAAACAAAACAAGAGAACTACTTGTAACAGTAAAGCCAGAGGCTTCATGTGAAGGAGTATTATTCCCAGTATCCACAGAATCCACACACAGGACAAAGATTTTCCTGTATGTATTTATCTTATTTTCTTTTTTCATTTTCCTATTTTCCTTATTTTTTTCTCTCCCCTCATTAAATAATATCATCTTTTAAACCAAATAAAGCTGAAGACATCCACCCAGCACTCCCACTCTCACGCACTTTCTATTTTAGTGTTTATACTAATGTGGTATATTTTGACCTTTTTTCCTTGTGGTTCCTCCTTTTTGTTTTGAAATGAAATGAAATATTACAATAAAATGTTTGTGTAACTTGTATAACAGAGATTTTTGAACACTGGCTTAACAGCAAAGAGCTATTTGAAATTTAAAGAATTAGTGGAATAAATAGTGGCATCGTTTGGATTCAATCAAATCTGAGATCTCATCCAACCACGGAATACACAGCCGCAGTTTTCCAAGACATAGGTGTGAGTCTGGTGTTCATTTCATGTAGGTGTGCATGCGTTGCAAGCTACACCTCATTAATTGGAACATACACTTTAACTTGGTGTACACTTAAAATCATATGCACGCATACACATACATTTTGATAGATGTCCTCTGTAGCCTGCAGCTACACGCCCACAGTGAAACAGATAGCACACAGACAGAGAAGAGCAGCCAGCAGAGACTCTCATCAAACAGATCACAGCACAGCCATCGGACCCCCTCCCCGTAGGGGTCAAGCATCCAGCCTGGTAATATCTCCCTCTCGTTGTATTCGTCAGCGGGCAGTTCTTGCAGACACAGTCTCGTATCGTGTCCTCGATAATGATAAATGCACGAGCATCGCTGTCATCGATTGTAAACTGTCAACAACAAATTCTGACAATATTTACTGATGTCATAGACGAAGATGTGACTATATTCACTGCTCCTATTGAAATATCAGCCAGTTAAACTGCATTTGTGACCAAAGCTCATGCCATCATTGCCCCAACAATGAACCCTGTTTCTTTTGTAAGGTTATTAAAAATGAATAAATAAACAAACAACAGAACCGAATGATCCTCCTCAAGAGTTATATACATGCCATGGAGGATGATTGGATGTTAATTGCCCAGGTGTAATCAACAGCAAATGCATCGGAAAGATGATAATTCATGTCAGATGTGTTGAAACCTCTTTTTGGAAAGTGGGAATTTAGTGAAATTAATACACCGAGTTAAGCAGTGATCAGGACAGAATATTAATGCAGAATCACAACTTCATGATAATCCCTTGAAAGTTCTAATTGTATCTTTCAATCAGGTAAAGCCCCTTGTTGGGGAGCGGTCACGCATTCAGGGACAGACACACTCACACAGTGAAATTGCCTGTCAAATAGAGATATGATTATAATGTGCCTCGGTAGAGACGTTGTTTATTTTGATTAAATGTTTTGATGTGGCTCAGTAACGGTAATAAAGCACATTAGCGAGAGCCATGTGGTCAAAACAAGCACAAAGATCCATACTGATGTACTGTAATGATGACCTACCACAGGCCTTGCTCTCTCAGACAAACACAGACACACACACACACACACACGCAAATTGACCTTGCAAGTGTGGCACTGCTGTGCGGTTGTCCATCGGGTGTCACTCATGCACAAAGAATGCAGTCTGACTCTTGAGATGAGCTCTTTTATGAGATTTTACACAAGCAAAGCTCTTTCTTAGATCAAGAATCTCTCTGCTGACCCTGTTCTCTGTGTTTCTGTCCTTTTTCCCACAGTAATGGTTTGTTTTCAAACACAGAATCAACATTTCATGTACTAGTTTTAACACTTTGCTTTCATGTGCATTAATAACTCCATGAATTTTCTGAATTTAAATCGAATGTAAGTAAATAATATAGTAGTACACGTTAAATATATAGTGTTATATTATTTACTTTTGCTCTCTCTGGGTACACCCAGCAGCCACTTTATTAGCTACACAAGTTCGGCCACTTTATAATGCATATAATAAGCCAATCACATGGCAGAATTGGAAGCATTTAAGGCTGGGATGTCATTTTACACTGTGGGCCGAACCAGTGAAACTATATAATAAATGTGTAAATTACAGGAAAAAGGTGTGTCAGACTGTCCCATAATTAAAATAAAAAGGTTTTGTTAATTCAGAGAAAATCTTATTTTTTTCTGTGAACACACTGTAAAAAATACATACAAATATACATTTGAAGACATAGTGGAAAAACAGGAACTTTGTCTCATGTAATTGTTTGTCTATTACTTAATTACTTTTCTATTAATAACAGGAATCGTTATCAGTAGGAAAAGCTGTAAAACTTATGAAAATACAGTTAAAAGTAAATGACTCCTTCACATTTTCCAGAGCCGTCCAGTGGCTTCTTCTGGCCCCCAAGCCTTATATTTGATATCCCTGATTTAAGGCATGTAAACATAGCCGAGGTGACCCTAAAGTTCAAACTGGGAATTGGAAATGGGGGAAACCGCAGAAGATCATCGCTGAACACTCAACACATTAAACCTTAAGGGAGGTGGGTTAAAGCTGAAGCTGGTGACACTCCTGTCTGCTCAGAACGCAAGTCTGACGCTACGGTTCATGTAAGCTCACAGAAATTAGACATTTGGACAGATTACAAAAACTTTGGCTGTCTGCATGAGTCTCAATTTTTGCTGGGACGTTCAGATAGCAGGTAAACTATTTGGAGTAAACAACAGAAAAAGCATTGGCCTATCTTGCTTCATATGGTCAGCTCATCCTGGTGGATAAAAAGAAAGTGAACTTCTTACTGGATTTAAAAAAAATATGCAATTAAGATTTACTTACCTAAATGTTGATTACACATATATATATGCCACACACTCTAAGCGCTTGGAAGGTAGTCAAGTGGAAAGAGGGCATTTCAGCAGTGATCTCAAAAATCCATAGTGGCCATAGTTTAATTTTCTTTAATAATAATAATAATAATAATAATAATAATGATAATGATGATGATGATGATAATAAAGTGCCATCAAGGTGCTGAAGTATTTATGTTAATTAGCGACAGATGGCATGACCTGCTGCAGACGATGCTTTTGCAAAAAGTGAGCAATGGTCAGCACTAAACCAAAAAGCTGCTACCTGAACAAGCTAAACACTCCTCTTACTGTTCTAGAGGAGAGATGGAGAAATGTTCCTATCTTTAAAAACTGACACATAAGCTGCTTAAAATTTCCAGCTGTGACTTCACTCATTTTGTATCTTGGTTGTTCTTACGCTTCATTATAACTCCAAATACACTCTTTCAGAGACAGAGAGGAAAAGAAAGCTATTTAGCTATTTAAGTCACTTTGACATTTTTTTTTTACAAAGTATGCCTTGTAGCATTTTAATTGTGTAATAGAAAAAAATAAGCTAACAGATTTAGAAATTGTTTTCATTTTATAGGCAAACTGAGGGTTTCTATAATCTTTTGAAGATGATTTCAGACACATTTCAATGTGCAAAATTAAGCTTTTCCAGCCCCACACAGCTGGTATAAATGATATATGTGCATATTTATGTAAATAAGCTGAAAAATTGCATTTCCATACTTTGGGAGCGGTTGTGTGGAGGAATGTGGAGATGCATGATTTCAGGTATACCTCTCTGGGGTTTTATAGTACAACTGCTGGTGTAATGCCACGTGATATGAGGAAAAATCAATATAGATCAATATACACACACAAAAGCTATATATGTACATCTGTTTCTTCAGACATCAGGCAACAATGTCCTGGGTGTTTTTCCAGATGTTAATGACTGGAAAGAGTTCAGAGACTTGACCGAGTTAGCAATGTGAGAAAGATCAGATTAGTCCAGAGCTGAGTGAGTGAAGTGTGAAGAGTTTACAGCTAAAAAAAAAAAAAAGCTTTAGGAATTTCACTGGAGACTGACTCTCTGCTGCTAAACATCACAGTCCATTTCATCCTCAGGAGTCTGTGTGTTAACATTGCCAGATGGGATACAGATTCGAGAAATGTATAATTTAGCAAACTGAATAATAAAAAGAAATAAATAAAAACTTGCGGTTCATCTTTTACAACGCAAACTCTCTTACTGTGAAAGGCTGCGTGCTCTTTTTGCAGACTTTTGAGTATTTGCTCCTCTTTTCGACCACGATTTGCGGTTGTTATTTTTAAGCCCTCACTAAGTTAAACAGCAACATCCTGACATGTTGTCATCTCCTGCTCACGTTGCATCACAGGACGCGCATCCAAAAACACCGGCAGATCACGTTTGACGCCACGCACGAAAAGATTAAGGTGGCAAGTGAGCCTCGAGCGTTGTCTGTGTTTGTTGTAAAAGGCAAAAGCAATTATCCTCCTTCGGGCTTATTTGCTTTATCTAAAAAGCAATCTATTTAGGCAGATATGGCAGCGAAGTTTCAGTTGCTTTGTTTCAGTTTCAGTTGCTTTATTCAAAATCCAAGCTCTTTTAAAGCCTTGAAAACACCACATTAAAATTCAAGCATTCTCAAGTATTTCAGCACCTGTGTGAACCCTGTCTTTTATCATTTATTCAGATGGGATGATTTATTTATTCATTCTTTGTTCACTGCTATGAGCTGCGTAAACAACGATTGTTCATAGCATCATGAATTTAGGGTATTGAACAACACATGAGTCATTCAACCCATAAAAGCAACAGCAACAGACTGAAGTGCTTTTAAGATTTTTCTCTTTCAGTCTCTGCTTTAGGGTGTGGCTCGTTCTCGCTTCGGTCTTACCTCAGCAGTAATCTAACAACATAGTGGTGAGCCTTAAAGCTGTTCAATCAGCTTCTCCTCTTAGCGAGATAATGGGCTCTTATAATTTACACAAAGTAGCTTTGAGATTAATTTCTTATCTGATGAACAGAACAGTTTGTAAATACATGTATCAGTAATGGTCATGCCTGGAATGATAAAGATCTTACACAAGGACAACATCCAACCATTCGGCTACACGTACACAATCGATAGCGAGCGCACGTAGGTATATATTAGCCTTGATAAGATGGGGCTGCTCACTTGCAATAAAAATCTTATCTTGACCCTGAAAACCCAGCGGGACAATGACAGATCCTCTGAGACTGAGAGACACCGTTTACCAGCTGCTTCCCTGCATAATTCACATGGACACATTGCTTCAGAATGTATGATTTTTTTCCCCGGCCAAACCGGCTGAATATTTCATTTTTTCTTGTTTATATTTAATGTGTACTCAGGCCAGACTGTAACACACATGCACACACACACACACACACACACACACGTAGACGCACAAGTTTGTATTCATCGGTCAAACCTCATGCCATTGGATTCAAGCCACATGTAACAAACTGGTGTCACAGAAAGTACGCTCACAAATCGGTCAAACGTCTTGGCTCCTCGAGACAAAGACAAAGGAAGCGACTGCACTGTGGTGTCACGCCTTAAAATAGAAATTCTTGTTTCCTGATTGCTTTGCAGCTTCTCAGCGCAGCTGTCTGATAAAAGTCTTTCATTTCCCCCACCCACCCCGCCCTTAGCATCTCTTGTTTCTCACTTCCTCTGCTCTTTAAATTTTTGCATGTTCTCTTGCACTTTCACCTGTGAAAACAAAGGAAGTGTTACCGTAACTCGCACAATATTTAGGTTTCACCTAATGTGCAGTTTTAATTTCTTTGCTACACTCCTCATTTGTTTCTGTTAGCATGAGAATATACAATGGATTGCATTGATATAGCGCTTTTCGGGGCCCTCAAAGCGCTTTACAATTCCACGATTCATTCACACACTGGTGAAGGCAAGCTACAGTTGTAGCCACAGCTGCCCTGGGGCAGACTGACAGAAGCGGGCCTGCCATATTGCGCCATCGGCCCCTCTGGCCATCACCAGTAGGCGGTAGGTGAAGTGTCTTGCCCAAGGACACAACGACCGAGACTGTCCGAGCCGGGGTTCGAGTTCGGGTTCGGCAACCTTCCGGTTACAAGACGAACTGCCAACTCTTTGAGCCACGATCGCCCCATGGGCCACTGGGCCTGAAGTCCAGCTGTCATGTGTTAAAAACGAATATCTGAAGGTCTCAGAATTTAATTTCACAGTTTTATTTTTACCCTGAGGTTTGTACTGAATGCACATTAAATTATTACTTTTACAGAATGTAGTTTCTTTATCGGACATCGCCTCCCTCACACAGTATGCGTTACGCGAGTGAATTTGGTCCTGTGTGTGCACTAGGAGCTGATTCTCGATGCAGAGGACACATGGATTCGACTGGAGGGACTGGCCGAGACTACAGAGTACACCGTCAAGCTCCAGGCTGCGAGGGGACTAGACACCAGCGCTGTAGTCTCTACCACCTTTACTACAGGTACAGAATGCACTCATTCAATCACACGCACACGTAATGCATTTGTATTCTTTAATTGAAGCTGGGAAAGCGATACTAATGTGTAGAGTTTTCTTGGCCCCTGAGACTTTTCGCTGCATTTTGCATTACAGTTACTCTAACAGACGTGCACAGTAATGGTCCCCCAAAGTCAAGCACAATTTCCATCCTTACCCCATCGCTTAGTGAGAGAGAATTACTGTTAGGCTGCACCTGCAGGGTGGCTGTATGAATAATGTGCTTTAATTTTTATTGTGCGACAGCATGTCTGATGCGTCAGGAAGCATCATAAAGCAGCAGGAATAAATCACAACATCTGTGGCATACAAACATATCACTGGCAATCAAAAAGGATAGACATCGCGCCATGGTCTGAAAAGTTAAGCCAACTTAGAAATGCCTGTTCTTTTTATTGGCCACCAGGTGACGACACCTGTGGTGACAGAAATACATCCAGAGCTATAGAAAACAGCTTTCTGACTAAACGTCTGTAAACACCTGATGAGTAAGTTGTACTCATTTTGGGTTGTACTGAATAAAAAATTGAGGCCTATGAGTGTGTGCTCTCACAGTCAGACCCAGCCGCTCTCTTGCCACATCCAATTTCAAAACACCAAGTTCATGTTGTTGCAACCTGCTGCATCAGCAGTTTCTGAATAGATTGAAACTGACAGCAAATTTACTGGCCTCAAAATATAAGACACAGAAATACTTTGTAAGTGAACTTAATGCCCTGATAATCATGCCCTAGATTTCCCTAGACTTTGGTCATATTCCCTTTTGACCAGAAGCACTTTACTAGAAAGACTGGATTTTTTTGTAGATGATGTTAATCCTGTCTCCTGTTTGCCTCTGAAGTCACATGTCAGAGCTGGGAGTGACGTCACTCCTAACCTGAGAGCTAACCTGCGAGCATTCCAACAGTAAAGTTGAAAAAGTAAAGAAAAACAGGAATGTTTTGCTCCTCAGTAAGGTAGAGCCAGCATTACAGCAATACAGCCATTGGTTGTTTTTTTGCACTTAAAATCAAGCTATAGCACGTTCATAGAGCGGGCCTGGTCAGTGTTCTTCAGATGGAACTTACCATGCTCACACAGCAAATTGTTAACTGCCCAGCATAGGAGCTAGATGTGAATGACTCTAACTGGAGTCCTGTTGGCTTATTTTCAAACTCTCAAGACTATCTTTAACTGGATAACTGTAAGCCTACACAGATGACTCCAGCATTGGCACAAACTGCCAGGCTTGTAAAAGTGACAAATTCCGATTTTACTTCAATGCCTAACAATTGTTTCTGGTTATTCTCTGTGTTGCCTCCAAAGTCCTGAGAACGACTGTTGACCTGCAGAGCAAATTACATTGCATGACACATCCTTTGCAATTTTTCAACAAATTCAACCAAATGATGGCCACAAGTTGTTAGAGGAAGTTAGAGTCAGGGGAGAGCTCATTTTCTTAAGGCAAAAAATACTTAATAAATGATGTTTAAAAGCATGCCTTTGATATAATATCTAAAGTAACAAGCTTCTAAATACTGTAATAGAGCAACATTTTGACAAGCTGAATATTTTTAAGTCAAAATGGGGAACAGCAAGCAAATTTTAACTTCTCATCACTGGTCCTCCGCCTTTTTTTCCAGGGAGTCGCCTATTTGCGACACCTCAGAACTGCGCCCAACACCTGCTAAATGGAGAGACTCTGAGCGGCATCTACACCATTTACATCAACAGAGACCCCAGCCAGGGGGTGCAGGTGTACTGTGACATGACCACGGATGAAGGAGGCTGGATTGTAAGTGGGTGTAAAGACAGCTAGTGTATAATTATGTACCAATCTGAGTATAGGATGTACTACTTTGATTGGTTGATCTATAACCTCCATAGTGTTTTGTTAGATGCGTCTTGTGTTGTTATATGTGAACACGCCAAGACAAATTCCTATGAGCAGTGTGGTTCAAATGGTTTCAATAAACCTTATTGCTCTGCAGGTATTCCAGCGTCGTCAGAACGGCCTGACGGACTTTTCCAGGAAGTGGAGTGATTATCGTGTCGGCTTTGGAAACCTGGAGGATGAGTTCTGGCTTGGTAAATCTCCCACTAGATAAGGATTATATAAACTGTGGTTCCAAAGCAAAGGTTCACTCATTATGTTTAGTTGTCAAATGCAAGACAGAGAAAAAAACATATTGAGTTTCTGAAAGTCTGCGGGCTTGGCTAGAAACATATGTTGCATCACTCGGTGAGGTTAAGGTGGCAGGGGTGAGATTATCTGCATTTATTTGTTTTTCTTGGAAAGAAAACTGACACTGATTGACTTGTAGGTGAATCGCACATTTCACAGGTAAGGTCAGGTCTGCCACCGCCGTATTTCAGCCTGTCACCCTGCCCAATATATTTTAGCTGCATTTTATGGGCAATATTGAGCTGCAAGCTGCCACCCATTTTGTTCAATTTCTGCTGCAGTTTTCTGAAGGCTGTAACACTCTCTCTGTCTACACCCTGTCCCCCATGACTGAGGTGGATTTAATAGGTACAATCAATAGAGGTTCATAGCTTTCACTTGGTTTCAATTGATATATCTGTTTTATGGAGAGGAAAGATGTCTTCAATATTTTGTGCAGGCTGTAAAGCCCTTCTCGTCAGATTTTTCACGTTGTGCAAAGACAGAGAGTCACGCCGCTCATCTCGTCTTTTAGCACTTGACTTCACAAAGTCTATCCGATTCATTACTGGAATCTCTGAAAGCTCATTTCTCTCCGAAATGACTTGGTAATTGTTTTTTTAGCGTCACTCTGATCCAAAGACAAAAACAACAGAACGTCCTCACTGCTTTGATGGACGGCTGAATACTTTTCACCCAGCCCCCCCCTCCAAATCTCATTATGAAACAATAATTATATTCATTAAAAAATGTGCAAATGACTCATGTTTCTTCATGGGCCAGTTTTTGTGTTATTGTTTTGGTGCAGATGATTAAAGGAAAAATATTACATGAATATTTCATCAAGTGAATCAGGACCTTGAGTGGAATGCTTTTTTGAACTTTTTGATTAAAGAAAGAAATAACACGGCGGGGAAATTTTACGGCATTGCATTATCGCCAGAAGGAAGCCTGCTACTTTGATGACACATTTTGGATAATAATGCAAGATAGCTGCGGCATCCATTTGTGACTAAGCACGCTGTAATAGGTAAAAGCATAAAGGGATTTTTTTTTTTTTAAAATCTAACCCATCATGAGCTGACAATATAATATAATCCAGTAAAAGAGTGTACAGTTCTTGTTGAGCATATCAGATTTGTTTGGGGTGGGGATTTCACGCTGGCTATTTTTAAAGATTTATTTTGAGTTGTTGTTGAGCCGAATTAAATAATATTGTCAGCTGTTCCTGTTACTGTTATGCACACAAGAGAGCGCGTTCAAAGGTAGCTCTTTATCTCAACAGGAAAAGTTGGATTGCTGTCTGCTGGTATAAATTAATAATTTATCTGTTTTTGTATTTCAACAAAGAAGAGAGGAAATTACTCCCGGAAGCAAAGAGCTTTTGATAAAAATATTAAATATTTTTGTAGGATGATTCTGCACACTCACACACACACACACACACACACACACACACACACACACACACACACACACACACACACACACACACACACATAGAATAAAGAGAGAAATCCCTCTCCTTTGCACACTGTTAAGTATTGAGTGTGGATAGTGAACTATAAAGTGACAGGAATGTTTTTTCTCTTTCTGATGGAGGCACCTGAAGGCATCGCATAGAAGCTTCCTGGCACAGATCTGAAAGATTGTTTTTAATGGCTATGTCAGTACAATACAGTCTAAAGATGCCTGAGCGTATCTGGCTCAGTGACTACATTTCATCTGACCTGTTTCCACTACAGCTGAATCAGCTATAATTTGCCCTCTCGCCGATTCTGAGCAGGCCCCGTAGAACGGTACCTTCATCTCCAGGGTCTTCCTTTACTTTCTAGGTGCCTCCCAGGATACACTTTCCCCCATTCCATCCTATTTCTTCTGGCTGCGCTGTAACTTTGTCCTCGGTGCACAAAAGGAGCTTAATGTAACCTCAGGGTGTGGAGCGTCAAGAGCGCCCCCATAAAGCAAGACAGATATGCTGACAGCACAGCACACAGAAGCCTCAGCTTTACAGGTCTTAACACAAAATGTTGAGACCAGAACACTAATTTCTTTAGTGTATTACACTTATTTTAGTTTTATAGTTTTTAATTTTATTTACACTTTATTCTGTTCAGCTGCTCATTAGCACAAATATCTGATCAGCCTATTACATGTCACCAATTCAGTGTATTTAGGTATGTAGACATGGACTAGAGCAGCGGTCCCCAACCCCCGGGTTTGGTACCGGGCCACGAGAATCGAGGCTTGGGTGTGAAATTCATCGTTTTCAGGGTTTTTATTGGTTTTTAAGTGTTATTTTTTAATCGTTTTTATCATTAACTCGGTTTCCCTTGGTCCTTTCCCATGTGTTATGAATAAATCTTCATTTTTTGGTACCGGTACTGGTTTCATTTTGTTGTTTGTATCCGTGACACCTTAAAGCCCGGTCCGTGAAAATATTGTCAGACATAAACCGGTCCATGGCGCAAAAAAGGTTGGGGACCACTGGTCTAGAGGACTCGCTGAAGTTCAAACCAAACATCAGAATGGGGAAAAAAGGAGATGTACTTGAATGTGGCATGGGCTTTGGTTCCAAATAGAATGGTATAGTATTTCAGTAGCACTCATTACAACTAAGGTATGCAAAAAAGCATCTCTGAACACACAATGTGTGTGTGTGACAGAGAAATCAAGGCTATAGTTCACATAGGCCACTAAAATTGGACAATAGAAGATTGGAACAAATTCTTCCATGTATTACTTTTTGTATTAGCGCTGTTAGTTTTTATTCCAGTTAACTCCAGTTTTTTTCTGTTCATCCACGGGTTAAAATTATTGTGAACAGGAAACCATTAGCACAGGAATCACCAGAAACATTACTGATGGCTTTCTGCTCTTCAGCTGCCCTCGTAACACCATGACAGCATGATCCGGTATCCACCTACAGACACCATGAAAATGAAACTGCTGATCAGAGTGCAGCCATCACTACATATATCGCAGGTTTTTGAAATGTGTTATGAAAATATTATGTGTGAAAAGGATCCGAGGAGGCGGAGGAAAATTATCACTCTGGGGTCGGTGAAATTTGTGGTGTAACTGATGTAAGGCCTACTTTTATAACTGTAATGAATGCTTAATTTAAGAACAAAATCCTCTGGGTTTCCTTGCAATATGCAGTGTTGCCCCCCTGGTCAATAACACTAATTGTCTTTTAATGTCTTTACTGCCTAAAATGCATGTAAAAATCAATCAAACTCTACATAAGGCCCAGTGTCAACTTGTTTCTCCTGAACGAGCAAAGTCTCTGATGACAGGAATTACACTGCTTCGCAAAGCTGATTGTGAAATGAAATGCTGGTTTTAATCGCTGCCCTCATCAAGCCCCAACACAGCGAATGTTGCATTTTTTGGAGTATATTATGTGTTATACATAGACATCTGTTGCTAGCCAAAATAAACAAGTAGAAATGGACATTACTTCCTCCCAAATCACTGATCGGAATATCCCTGCACTCCTAAATGTTACAGGGAGCTGTGTTCATATCAATTAAGCTAATTGCTATGTTTCTGTTGCGTCTCATTCTGGCGCTGTAGTCGCTCTCATTTCACTTTTCACTGTGTAAAGAAGTCTATCCTCATAAAAACGTGAAGGTTATCGTCCTACAGATGGTCACTGCAGTTCCAGAGTAGGTGACCTTCACTCCTCTTTCAAGAGATTAGGTCACCGTCTTAGCCCTGGAGAGCCATTGCAGGGAACATTTAGCTAATCACTGCCTCTGCACACAGAATAGCAATATACCAACCATAAACATTGATACTAAATCCACTCAAACTGAAAAGAAGGAGCACTTAACGGGCCAGCAGTAAAGAATATGGAAATTGAACTTTCATTATTATCCGTTACAGCTTGAGAACAGCCATTTTTATTGCAGCTCTAGGCCAATCTATTCTCCCCACCCCCGCTGACCTTAACCGGTTTATCCCGAATCCAATGCCAGTTTGATGATGTCATAATGGAGAGAAATGCACAGCGACTGTGTGCGATTTGCGATCATTATCCCCTGCTCTCGATTTTTCTTTAATCCCCCTATTCCTTGTTTCTACTTCATTGTGAGAGAAATGTAGTGGTAATAAAATTTGATGAGATGGTAATATTGGTAGTATAATAGGAGAAGAGCGCAATAGTGTTTCACAATGCATTTTTAATTGCCTCAGTTTGGAATAGAGCAGTCTGATCCCATAAAAGTGTTGGAAGAAGAAAAAAGAAAAACGATGTGCGACAGATTAATTGCTGATAATGCGGTGATATGCTATGGATATTAGAGATGACTGAGTGTTAAACACAGTTTTATTATAACAATAGCTTTTCCCCTGTCACCCTAAGTGCCTTTGGGTTGTAACATAGATTTTATCTACTTTCCATTGACATATTACAGCAGATTTAGTTTCCCTGCTCTCCCCCGATTTTGACTTCCTACTTCTTATCAGCGAAGGCTTGGGGATTTTATTTTATTTATTTGCTGCTCAAAATGTTCCAAGGGTTCAGAAAAAGTGCATGTGTGTTTCTGTCGGAGGTTAAGCAGGGAAGGAGGCTCTTTTTCCAAATGGGTGCTTGTTGTAATCTGATAGCGAAGGCAGTTCCAATCGCTCAGGATAGTGCGGGGCCTTATCGGCTGTCGGGGCTCAAACGAGCCCCCCGTATCTGCTACCTTTGAGATAGAGAGCAAAGCTGCATATCTCGCAAACTTGGCATTTGCCGGAGGGCTGGTGGTGACGGTGTCCACCGGCCGACACTGCCAATCATATCCAGTAGAGCCACAAGGCCAGCTGATGAAGACGCTTGACATCGGGCCTGTGAAGATTGTAACAGGTGGTTAAAGCAGTCACATGAGAACATCTCGGGGCGATTAGGCGTTTGCAAACAACAAATTGTAAATTGTTCTGTGAATTCTTTTAAGGGCTTTGCCTTATCTCGGCAGCACAGTCTTCATTTAAATCTGCTACTGCTCATTATTGCCTATGCTTGCACATCTTGGTGATGTTTCTGTTACAGGAAAGTCTGACTAAACCTGAAATCTTTTTTTTTTTTTGGTGATCGAATGTTGGGGTAATTCAGACGGGAAATATAACTCAGTTTGAATCTAAAATTGCACATTTCTCTGCAGGTCTAGACAACATCCAGAAGATTGCCGCTCAGGGACGTTATGAGCTGAGGATTGACATGAGGGACGGACAGGAGTCAGTCTACGCTAATTATGACAAGTTCTCCATTGGAGATGCAAGAAATCTCTACAAGCTCAGGATAGGAGAATACAATGGCACAGCTGGTAATTTATATGTATTATATATATATATATTTATATATATATGCCCCAAAATAGCCAGTGGTGACATTCAGCGCTGTCAGTTTTTGCTATATGACCCTCATTTTATGTCAGAATTGTCCCTATGCCTCTGCCATTTTTTTGTCGTTGTAAACCTGCCTCAGCACTCCTCCACATTTCCATTCCTGTCCACTCAGTCTGTTAGTGTGACAATATACCACAATTACCCATGATGCCCTTATGTTTATGATCGTAATTCTCTCTCTCTCAAGATAAACTCAAAGAGCCTGAAGTTGGGACTTTTTTCCTCTTACATCTTCACCCTCCTGCTTTTATTGGCTCATTTATGTCCTGCCGTTATTCACAGAAGTTCAGTGTTTCTTAGGAAGCAGTACTAATATTAAAAGCTCTCTACCTCTCTCTCTCTGTTGTGATCCCAGGTGACTCTTTGAGCTACCACCAGGGTCGGCCCTTCTCGACAAAAGACAGAGACAATGACATCGCTGTCACTAACTGTGCGTTGTCATACAAAGGAGCCTGGTGGTACAAGAACTGCCACCGGGCTAACCTCAATGGCAAATACGGCGAGTCCAGGCACAGTCAGGTCAGTGCTCATATATACATATTAAGTGATGAAAAAGAAACGATCCTGAATGAATGATATATATTTTTGACAATTTTGTGGTGCAAGTTTTTTTTTTTTTTAAAAGAGGGCAAAACTATTGTATATTTGTTATTTAAAACATGACGAAGTCTCTTAGAGCAACCTGAGCTCCGAGAGGTTTATGCTAGTTTGACAGCATGTTCAGGACACAACTTCAGTCGGTGCGACCGGAGATAGTTATTTTGTTTTTTGTGCTTCCTGATTTCATTTGTGTTTATGTTAGAAAATATGATGTAAACCACTCTACTTTTCCTTCTGGGATCACCTGGCTGAGTCACACTACAGTAAAAATAGGGTGGCATCCTCCTTGCAATTAGGAAAAATTGTGGGGGTTTTTTTTGCATCAGGTGAGTTGTTACAGCAAAGTTTGCAATGCCTGGAAGAAGGCAACCTGTCTCCAAACAGCCACAATCTGACTCCAATCACTCTCAGACAATTTCCACATTATCACAAGACCGCTTGAAATTGCAACTTGACCCCATTCGGTTGCAAATTGATTGCCGTTTTATTGTCACCTTGATGCAACAAAGTCAAGGTAGATGCAGATGACTGCAAGTGGTCACAAACCTGAACGATGTCCTGGAAGCAACTGTTTCAGAGGCAGCAAGATCGCAAATTCAACACACATGCGATAATTTGTTTGCGGTCTCTAATCACTGCTTTCCTTTTCATGACTGTAGCGTGAAAATTTAACTGTCAGCTCATTGCAATGGGAATGAAATTCAGCACAGTGTTTCCATTAGAAATAACAGATGAGAAGTAGTTGAAGGGAAAGTAGTTGATAGTTTTGTGGGTTATTGAGTATTTTGGCCAGCGAGTCAGTTGAAGTGTGCTTCCATGTCCAACTTATTTTATATACGTGGTGAAAACTTTTGAAATGTCAAAACCAGCTGATGCTATGGGATTAAAACTGAAGCCATGAAGTTAGACATATAGTGCATGTAGATGTTCTTCGCCCACATCTGCACACAAATAGTAAAAGAGCTTTGCAGTTGTTGTGAAATACCTCTGTTCAGATTATCGGCCAACAAATGTTTGTGATATTTTTAGTTTGTGAAATATTTTTGATGCTGCAGCTAAATTTTGATCTTTTAAACGTTACAGTTTTGTCCTCTTCGATATTTTTTTGAAATCTTTTCATAATGTGTTCTGCGAGACCACGCTAACCTTGATCTTTCATGACCAAAATTGAATGACTTCATTCTTGAATCCACATCAACTTTGTGCCAAATTAGCTCCCACGAGGTGTGCAACTGATACCATGTTCACAAGAATAGGAATCCTTTGAAAACTTCATTCAACCTTACTGCATGAACGTGCCAGTTCTAAGTGGGAAAGTTTTTAAAAATGTGGTTTTTTTTGGCTATTTGAATGAATCAAGCCTTAAAGTAAGTGCCATCTTTTGAAAAAGGTTGCGTTTTGAAAGTGTATCTTGGCATTTACAAGTCTCACTTTAATGGGATCCAATACAGAACAGTGATTAAAGGCTAAAACTTGTCATTATGAAAGGGTAATAATTAGCGAATGAAATCACATGGAACTTGCTACCAGCATCCATCTTGATGAAGGAGTTTTTTAATGAAAGGTCAAAATTTGAAGGACCAAATCTGCTACACTACTCGTCTGATTTTAATGAAAGAGGATGGCGCTTGAGACTAATTTGTCAAGAGATACGCTTTCATTTCCCAGTAAGTTCAAACAATTCAAGCATTTCAAGTTCCTTTAAGGAACGGAACAAATTGTTAAATGTGAGATTAAAAATAAAAAAGCACTGGCACCCCAGCCAAACACAAAAATGGACACTTTTTTGTGTTTTGTACATGTGATGTGGGATAATTGAGGGCTTTTCGTGTCCCTTCTGACTGGTGTGTGGTATTCCTCGTTTTGCTTGCTTCATAGTGAAATGGCTCAATGTGTTTTGTGAAGCCGTGATTAGGATTTTGGAGCATCGCCGCTTCTCCCACTCTGCTCCCGTGCCTTCCTCTTCATCTGTTAATGACATGAAACAGGAACAGGTGGCAGCAGAGATGGTCGGCCATAAAGACACGCAGCGAAAGAAATGTTGGTGATGATGGGGATTAGAAAGGCTAGACTCAGGCTGTAATTACACCAGGGTCGTATTTTTGCTAGCTATTAAGTCAGGATTCCTATCATCCTGGATTGAATGCTTCATTTAAATGAAAACTACACTTAAATAGAAGCATAACTTTTCCATCTTCAGAAATATCTCATATCTCATGTGCTCAAAAAAAAAAATAAAAGAAGAAGAAGAAAAAAAATCCTGTTGATCCGAGCTGCTTCCCAAATTGTACTTCTCGCTTTTTTACAGGGTATCAACTGGTACCACTGGAAAGGCCACGAGTTCTCCATTCCCTTTGTGGAGATGAAAATGAGGCCGTTCAATTTCCGCAGCATCAGCAGCAAGAGGAGGCGGTCTGCCCCTGTATAGATGAATCGCCACAATCCAGCCCAGAGTCATGGATAAATGGAGTTCGGATGTTGAGTTTTTGCTATTTGCGTGCCTCACTGACAGGAGCAGCAGGCTGGGATGTGACCGCGGCAGGGCAACGTTAGTGAGGCTCAAAGAAGAAGCAGAATATGACAAAAATCTACTAATATTTTATTAAAACATTAACAAGAAGATGTTATAACCACGGATGTAATCATAAAATAGCAGCGAGGCTCGAGCAACGTCCGAACTCTGTTGATCTCTCCACCTGCCCAGCTTTAGCTGTCTTACCCTGCTGTACTTCTGCCCAGAAGTTAGAAGACACTGTATGTAATTTATTAAATACTATGAATGAAAATGGTTCTGTTTGCTGTATAAAACAAACAAAAAGACAAAACAAGAGGAAAGGCAAACCAGGAAGCTTTGTTTTTTTTTTCTTTTAATCCGTGATTTGTCTTTCCCTACGATGTGCTCAGAAGCGCCCTCAGGAGTGAGAGCTAGCATTATTTTAACCGTTACAAAATAACACTTTTAACTAAAAGAAAAAACAAAAAAAAACCTGTATATGCCCTTAAAACCCTCTGTAAAATATATATCTATTTTTATACCTGATATTGTGACAAAGTCCATTTATTTGATGCCTTGGTTTTTGACCCTATATTAAAATTAATATAAATTTTCTGGATAATTAGCATTAAAAAACAAAACATTCACAAAGCAGTGCACCAGCAGCAGCTTCATAACCATCTACTTTATTTTTTTCATTATCAGAATTAGCAGAATAAAACTATTCTCTTATTATTATCATTATTATCGTTATTATTATTATTACTACTACTGGTGGCCATGCTGAGACAGTATTTGCACTGTGAGTGGGAACACAGCAAAGCTGTTGTTGGTCATTCACTTCATTTCTTCGGTTGCTAATGGGCATTAGATTTTTCGAGCTCGTCTTCTTGGCCAAAAATAACAATCTCTTAATTGCTTTTTGACCCCTGCTATAGATGCTCTGATTGCTTGCAGAGATGGCGCTGATAGATGCAACATTTAACCAAAGATCTGCATAATAACGGCCCGGCCTGCTGTTTGGAAAGATGCCAGTCACCAAAGTCACTGAAGCAGCTTTTTCCACCCTGTGTTAATAAGAGTCCCACTTTTTCAGGGGCTTTTTATGGTAACTGTGTCCCCAGGCGTAATTTTATGCATTATGATTGCTAAATTCTATGCAGGGGAAAGTCATGGGTACAGCGCATGTTTTGGCCCACCTCTCTCCCACTGCTGGCTGAAAATGAACCTAACAAAGAAAGCAGAACAGTAGGTGGAGAGGAGCCAAGTCTTTCTTCTGTGCTCTTCTTTTACTCGCTTCACAATTTAAGCTCCCTGGTGAAACAACAAAATCAGCAAACACGGCTGAGCCTGTATTCCTTTTTAGCTGGGCGGGTGTAATCTGCAGCGTGCCCACCAAACATTTTGCTTTAATTCACCGCTCACAGAGTCGCACAAAGTGTTGGGAGCCAGTTGGTTTTCTTGAAGTTGTTTTCTTGGAGTTTTGCTGGCCCCTTTTCAGGGGGGGGGAAATGCCCTCTGCGGAGTCGGAAGATGAACCACACAGCAGTCCACGGAAATCGATGTCACCATCACTGCAAGCGACATTTGGTCTCACGATTGATAATCTGATTCTGTTTTTTTCAATTTTTGATCAGCTGGAAAGTGAACTTTTCTTTATTTCTTCACTTTTCTCACAGGAGTGAGCAAGCGACTTTGGCTCCTATTGCGACTTTGTATATTTGTCTTTATTTCTTCCCCATTTAGACTTTAAAATATTAGTAACTCTCCCCTCTATGAACTACTAACAATATACTCATGTAGATATAGAGCTGAAAACAGCTTTTGATGTGTTCCCCCTTAAGATGCAAACTAATTCAACAAGCCCTTTTGAACATCTCCATTTTAAGTGCTGTATTTTTAACCAGTGTTGTGGTGAAGGCTGGAGGGAGACTTGTGCATGTGGACTAAAATGCAATCAAGAGCCTGACAGTAAAAACCATATGTCCTGAGGATGTGTTGCAATCTGATTTGTAGTCACGTTTCTTTGTTGATCTGGGTAAAAGGTGCTCCTGAAGTTTGTTAGGTAGAAGATATAGATCACTTTGATTATCAGCCTCCAAGTCAGGTGATCACATGATCTCTCCTGAGTCTGATTTATGTTTCAGTGTCTAAGTAACTGCTTCAGTCCATCTCCTGTAGTGATTTATATTAGAATAGAGAATTATCTGTACTTATTTCATTAACTAATTAGAGGAAATTTGCCTCATTGGGTTTTATGTACGAGGAACAAAGGTTGGGAAGCAGAAAAGGAAAAGAATTCATTTGCATTGTGAGGAATACCTCTCACTGCGGATTATAAGGTGCTCTTAAAGAAAGCTAACGTTATATTTCCATTGATTTTGATTTTTTTCTATTTTGCAATAATCCTTCAACCGTTAATAACTTCACAGAACGAGCATTTTGTTTAACGTCATCCACAGATCCACATCCATTCTTCTTCTTTGCATTTACATGAGAAAACAAATCCAATGAAATTCTACAGAAAAACAGGGGCCTGAAATATTTTCTTGATATTATTTCCTTCCCTCATTACCTGAGATCAAGTTGTGTTGATATTTTTTTCCACATCTGGTCTATATTCTGTGTTTTATAAAATCTTTTCCACCTATTGCACAGCATCCGGTTTAAAAAGTACATTTTATCCCCATTGCTTAAACTTAAGACTCGTACTGAACTTCTTACAAGTTACAATACCACCTTTAACTAATGTTATTGCGATTATATGACCTTTTTATGCTACTGATATACTGACAGCATAATAATTAAGGCTGAGCCAAATGCTTCAAAGCTTGGAACCTGTCCGTCCTAGACATCACAAATCATACACTTCTCTTTTTTTCTCCTGGTAATCATTTATATTGAGTTAGCCAAAACGTTGGTGATGTTCTCTGTAGACACAATAGGACAATATTGACCTTGTGTCCATATATTGTATAATTACCCAGTAATGTATTTATCTCGACTGGCCCACTCACTTGAGAGGATATCTGCTCCCTTTATTTATTTCACTGCTATTTATTTTCCTGTTTCTTTTTGACTGATGTGACACAAAAAAAAAGAAAAAAGAAAATGTTTTTATTTATTGGGTTTGTGTTCACAGATTACTTAACTGATATTGCCACCGTGGTTGGTAATAACTCTTATATAGGCAGATAATGTAACTGCATTCATTTGACAAATCTTGCCATGGAAATGTAAATGTTGATAAAATGTGATCTTGACTGTTTGAAACGCTCATGTAAGCTGAAACTAGGAATTATTGTTGGATAACCTTGGATATTACTGTCAAATTTAGCTCTAGTTTGACTTAAACATGTACTATATAGTTCCTTTTTTAATACATTTTCTACATATTAATAAAATATTCAAATAGTCTGAATCGGTGTCTGACTCTCCTTTTTGTTTCGTGAGTGCTGACTGCAAGCTGTTACATAAATTTGATGACACAATGAACTGCTCACGGGGTCTTTAACTTGCTTGGATGTATTTGCTTAATAGACACTCATTTTTGAGTCACATTTTATATTAAACAAATGGGATTATGGTTACTGTGAAAATCCTTCTCCATTTTGCTCCAATGAAATAACGAAGCATGGAGAACCAACTCCATGTCCTAAACTTATCAAAGTCTCTCCACCTCTAATTGGAGGCCATTAAAAACTGAACTGAAATGCAACTTCTACTCGTGAATAGTGCCAGGGGCAATAATAACAATCTGCCAGTGTGGTTTGGCTACAAGACCTCTAATTTATTCTCAAACAGACAAAACAGGCCTGCATGAACCTAAAACAACCCAACCTATGCAATATTACAGGTAGGCACAGAAGAACAATAACACGTTCATTTTAAATTTTAGTCATCTACAAAGAGGAGGATTTTTTTTTAGTATTGGTGCAATTTTAAGTGAAATTGTTTAAAAAAAACAACCACGGGAATTGGATAACGTCTGCTCTGTAAGGTTAGCTTAGAAAAAAAGAGGAGAATCAGCTGTTGTCTACAGTTTAGTGTTTTTACTAATTGTAGACAAAAGTAAAATGTGTATTTCCCGTACTCAATACATAAACATTTGCAGTACACGCTTGCTTCTTCCACAGGAATTAAGAGGCAGCCAGGTGCTGGAAATCAACTGCACTTGATTAACTGATCATTAGCAAGTGTCAACACCTCTATGAAAGCAGAACTTTAGCTGGTGTGGAGCCCAGCAAAGTTGCCACAAGGTCAGACTGTGCAATGCTGAGAGAGCATGGAAAAAAACAGATCTACATGTCAGACTCTACTCTAGGCCTCAGTTAGCATGTTAGATGTTAAAGTTCATGACAGTATAATTAGAACAGGACTGAACAAGTGTGGCTTTTTCAAAGAGTTGCCAGGAGACAGTGTCTGCTCTCTAAAACGGACATGGTAACACAGCTTAGGTTTGTAAAGTTGCATTTCAACAAATTAAAAGACTTCTGGGACAATGTACTTTGGAGAGACAAGACCAAAGTTGAGATGTTTGGACAAAACCAAACACAGCATATCAACACAAACACATCATGCCAAGTGTCAAATACGATGGTGGAGGGTTGATCATTTGGGCTTGTTTTGAAGCCATAAGACCTGGGAACCTTACGCTCACTGAGTCAACCATCTGTCTACCAAAGTGTGCTAGAGTCAAATGTGAGGCCATGTGAGTCCAACAGCTAAAGTTTTGCAGAAATTGAGTCATGCAACAGGACAATGATCGCAGCCACAGCAGAAAACTTACAACAGAATGGCTCAAATAGAAAAGAATCAAGGATTCTCAATGACCCAGTGAAAGTCCAGACTTCAATCTGATTGAAATGATGTGGTAGGAGAGAGATGTGCAAGAAATGAATGTAATACTCAATGAAATAAAGCAACACTACCCAGAAGAGTGGGCCAAATTTCCTCAACAATGATGATGAGAGACTGAGAAAGTCACAGTGAAAAGGATTACTTCAAGGTATTGCTGCTAAAGGTGGCTCTACAGGCTTTTGGATCACGAGGTGGACTTATTCACGAGATTGCATGGAGTCTGTTTAAAAAAATTCTCAAATAACTGCATGTTTTGGCCAATATGGCAGAACAATGGAGGAGGACTCTAAATGTTTTTTCTGCCAATCTGACTTGGATGCAGCACCTAATGTATGTCTCCTAAAGGTAGGGGAACAGCATCATGTCCTTAGCTGTAAATGTAGGCTTAAAGGCTATGCAATGACTAGCATGGATCCTAAATCAAACAACTGAGCCTGCGGAAAAAAATATGTGCAACCACAACTATACCCATGTATTATTGTTTTTATTATCATTATTATAATGCACAGCTACAATACTCGCAAATCTTCAGTTCAGCAGTTTTAAGATTCATTGTTTGATTTCAGCATGTTCTAATTATCCAATAATAATCCATTCCAGTGTTTGGTCAGCAAAAAACAACTTTGGTAAGTAATGAGCTTGTGCGGAGTTTGTGAATATATTAGAGTCAAGCACAAATAGATGAGCAACACAGACTTTACCAGTGGAATAAAGGTCAGTGAGACAAGCTAATCTGTTCAGTCTTTACCAAAACAAAACATGTCACATGCACAACTGGATCA